CCGCTTTTGGGATGAGTGGTAACCATATATGACTTTTGAGCTGGTTTTCTCACTACATGGATGAGATATGGGTGGCAGAATTATACCTGAGCAACCCTTGTAATTACTCGATTTAGAAACATAGCCCCCTGTGCGAATCAAACTCTTTCGTTCTTTATAAAGGCATTTACTAAGCTTTCAAAGCATCGTGTCCCCAGTTTTTCAGGCTCTTGTAGCTCTTAGTCTCAGTATCTTGCTTGGCCTTTTCCTCCTGGGCTAAATGTCTCTTACAATACGCCACCACCTTTCTCATATGATCAATATCTTCTTGCTAAAGACACAAAAAAACATTAAGTCAGCCCTGGCATGTAATGCGTGGTACTCTGTGGTTGAATTCAGGACTTACGTCGTACTTGCCAGGATTTTTCTGCGGATTCTTGGAAAGGATGGAGACGATGCGTCGGCCCGATTCGTGGCCAATTGTTTCGCCGTTGGATGAAGAGTGGTTGGTCCAACCGGCGCTCTCAGATTCTTGGCTGCCGAGCCACTCTTTGAGTTCGTCGGCAGTCATATTTATGAGTTCGTTGAACTCCCTGGGGTAAGGATGAGCATGCCTCAAGCAGTAGGAATAGGCACGCGAATCACGAACTCAATCACGGTGTCGTTATCTTTGACCATTTTGTGCAGCTGGGTTGAGATGAAGACAATTCTTTTCCAATAAGTATGCTTCAAGTCGTCTCGGTGTAATGCTACGGAGGTTACTGTTGCGGTTTCTACACCTTGTCTAGGACGACTAGTGACGTCATAACATTGCCGTTTCTGGTCCCGGTTGGACTATTGCACGTGATGCGGCTGCGTGCAGTTCAGCCGCGCGGACCGTTGACAACCACGTTAGCAACGTTGCGGACATACTATCGTTCTTATATGTAGATATATGCATGTATACTTCGAACAATGAGGCTGCTAGATGCCCCAACAACTGAGTAACGTCCCGAGTCATGCTCGCCGGCTTGCAAAGCACAGTGCGTTATCTATGCGCATTTCAATCCTTCAGCCGCACTAAACCTCGATGGGCGACGACGGTGAGCCACAGCTTGACAGCATTCGTTACCTGATATCGTAGCAGGTGTATGTGAAACATATTGTGTCCATCTGTCCAAAGTGTTGAGAATCCTTTCTGCTCAATTTGTCTTGTTCGACATACCCAAGAAGTGGCGAGGCGTCTCCAGGTCCCCGCACCACCACCACCACACCACCACATCTCCGCAACCCCCTTCTTCTCCTCACCACCACATCTCCACTGCCCCTCAGAGTTTTATTCACGCATTCCCCACGGCTGCGGAACTGCCGAGGATGTCTTTCCTCCTTTTCTCGTGCGATGCGGGCCGCTAACAAGCCATTGGAAAATTCTTGGTGGCTTCCTTGAGCCTCAAGTGGACCACCTCCGCCGATCTGAGACCGAAACCTGGGTCATGTTGCATTTTTAATGGGTCACATTCTTGCTTGGCCCGAGTCTGTCTGCACGCGGTCGGAGATTGAAAGGCAAAATAAGCGAAATCCATAAACATTGGCCCGGCTCGAGCGGCACTTGTTGAAGAGGCGGAGAGAAAGTCGGGGGGACGATGGAGTGATGTTGAGGGCAGCACAGACCTGTATCGACTTCAAGGCGCCCTCATCCCCACCTCCATCGCAAAGTGAAGTGTCTTCACCGACGTCCGACCGGCCCCTGGGCGTACACGTCGCCTTGATTTACCACCCTCATGTACGTCACGCGACAATGGCCCTGTCTCTGCGAACCGGTTGTGCGGCATAACGGGCGTCAAGAACGCGACGCGGTGCCACCCGTTGTGAATGCGGGGTGAGCATCATCAGAGGTGCTTGTGAGGCTCTCATTCTTTCAAGCAGTAGGACACCATATGGGCCGTCCGCGGTCAGATGCTCATAGGGGAACCCGATCCATCTTCTGCGATATTGTGGTAGCGCAACCACGGTCATTGGCCCTCTGCGGAATAGTCGGCGGAGTAGCCTTGGCTATCGAATCGCGGCCAACTTCCCCACATGTCGGTCGCTAGTTCCCCAGCAGCCATGTTGCGTGGACAAGCCCACTACTGCAGTTTCAAGAGCTCAGGACGGAATTCGTATGGCTGTTGCGCAATTCGAGCCAAGAACGTAGGGTCCATCTTGCCCAGGGCGCCTGTGACGGCGTGGCGGCGATGACGTACAACCCCGGAAGAGCATGTCTGGGCGCAAAGCTGGGCGCAACACTGGGCATTACCGCATAGCCAAAGTCGGCAAGGGATTGGCGACGATACTTAAGTCCTGGTGGGTTCGCGATGCGTAGAACAAGCAATTTTTCAGATTCCTTCAGCATTTTTCGCTGAGCTCAATCTACTACAGTCATCATGGGTTTGGGCACAGTGTAAGTTTGAAAATTATACTGCACGACATGTATGCGCATTGTTCTAACTCATGATAGTTCCGTCAAGATTCGCGGTGCCGCAGTCGGCACTGAGGCCATCATGCTCGGTGTGATTACATCGATTGGTGGTTTCCTGTTCGGTTACGATACTGTATGCTTGAGATACTTCCTGCCTTTTGTCGAAACATTTCCTGATCGTGTATAGGGTCAAATCTCCGGTATTCTGCTGTTCCGCGACTTCATTGACCGCTTCGGACAAGATCAGGGCAATGGTCAGATTGCTTTTGATCCAACTATCTCGTCTCTGCTCGTCTCGCTCATGTCTATTGGTACCCTTTTCGGCGCACTTGCTGGTGCATACACTGCCGACTTTTTTGGACGTCGCAAGAACCTTACTGTTGGTGTGATCATCTTCATTGTCGGAAACACTATCCAAGTCACTGCCATGGAAAGTTGGGTCCACATGACTATCGGTCGTATTGTTGCTGGTCTTGGTGTCGGTATTCTGTCTATTGGTGTCCCCATGTACCAATCCGAAGTCTGCCCCCGTGAAATCCGTGGCCCAGTCGTCGCATCATACCAACTCATGATTACTGTTGGCATTCTGAGTAAGTTTGCTTTTTCTCCGTGCATGTGGATGATACTTATACTCGATAGTCTCCAACATTATCAACTACGGTGTCCGTGACAACCCAGGTCAGGATAACTCTGCCTCCTGGAGAATCGTCATTGGTCTTGGTATCGCCTTCTCCGTTCCTCTTGGTTTCGGTGTTCTATTCACCCCTGAGTCGCCTAGGTGGCTGGCTGGCAAGGGTCGATGGGAAGATGCGCGTATCGCCATGGCTCGTCTCCGTGGTCTCAAGCACGACCCCAACAACCAGTTGGTCAATGAAGACTTCAAAGAAATGGAGGACTCCATCAACGAGCAAAAGAGCGCCGGTCAGGGTTCTTGGAAGGAATGCTTCGCCCGCTCATCTTCTGGTATTCCCCGTGTTGTATACAGGACGTTCCTTGGCTGTGCCCTTCAGTTTGCGCAACAGTGGACTGGTGTCAACTACTTTTTCTACGTAGGTCTTAGTGGATACCTCCTGGAACGATTTGTGACTAACCAATTTACAGTATGGAGCAACCATCTTCCAGTCCGCCGGTGTTCAAGATCCCATTCAGGTTCAGCTCATCCTTGGCGCTGTCAATGTAGCAATGACTTTCCCTGGTCTCTACCTCATCGAGCGACTTGGTCGCCGAATTCCACTGGTTCTTGGAGGTCTCTGGCAAGCCACTTGGCTCCTCATCTTCGCCGTCATCGGTGTCGTCTTACCCCCAACTGAGAACGAGGTTTCTGGAATTGTTATGATTGTCGCTGCATGCATGTTCATTGCAAGTTTCGCTGCCACATGGGGACCCTTCATTTGGGTCGTCATTGGCGAGACGTTCCCTCTGCGAACACGTGCCAAGCAAGCTTCGTTGGCTACGGCATTCAACTGGCTTGGTAAGTCACTCCTTGTTCCTGCATATTTTGTGTTTACTAACAAAACCCTCCAGGTAACTTCTTGATCGGTTTCCTCACCCCTTATGCCGATGATGGTATCGGATACGCTTTTGGTTTCGTCTTCTTCGGCTGCAACTTTGTCGCNNCCGCCATTGTCTACTTCTTCCTTTTCGAGACCAAGGGTCTGTCTCTCGAGAACGTCGACATTATGTACTCGGATAACAACCTCTCCGCTAGGACCAGTAAGAAGTGGGTACCTGCAGGATACATTACGCGTAACGAACGCGACGACGCTTACTGGCAACGCCGCCACAGCGCTGTCGCTGCCAATGGCGGTGCGCCTGGCAGCGTTGCTGAGAAGTACAACGACAAGGACGACAGCTCACCCGAAAGGGGAATGTCGTTGCACCAAGAGCGCGTTAACTAGGCGCATAGTCTCTTTGATGTATATTAGATAGCACTGATAAAACGGTGTTCTTTTTTCCCTGATTTTCCTTGGGCACAATCATGCCAAGGTACTCGTATCGCATGACTGCTTTTTAGCGCTGCATATTGGCCTAGAGGAGTGTCACATCACATATCTATACCCCCAAATCAATTCACGTTAAATCCATTTGAATCTGACATGCATACGAAATGTGACTTTTCCTTTACTAAATAAAAAACCCACATAGTTGAGCAGATGTATAAATGCAGAGAAACGAGAGCCAAAAAAAACATTACGTTATCAAACCCAACGCAGTCTGCCAACACAGCCACGCAGCCCACCCATGCCAAATTTAGCGTGGCGCAGGGCACACCCGACATACGCGTCAGCCTTTATGACAACCAACGCTCGCTGTCCACCCGTTTATTTATTTGCATCTCCACCCCACGACTTTCTGGTTTGGTCTGCTTTAACTCCGTGGCCGAACAATAAATATAACAAACCAAACCACTACATATCGCATTTCTTTCCGCTCAGTCGTTTCTCTGGAATATACTATCTGGCTGTTTTGTATACAGACATCTTCCGGTTGGGGATCCATTCACTTGAAGCTGCACAGCGTTAAAGACGGTGTGTGACCACCGCATCAACAAAGAAAAGAGACGGGAAAGCCAGAAAAAAAAGATATGGCACCGACACTCGCTTTCAAACCTCAGAGTGCGGGACTGGCGTGGAGAGCAGCTGTTTTATCGTCGTCGTCTTTCGCTTCATCGTTTGAGGCTTCGAGTTCGGAGGGGGTGTACGCGCGGCATGCGTTCGCGAAGAGGGATTTATCGGTAAACCATACTCAGGGTGTTACGCTGGGGGTAATAGGAGCGTATGTGGTTGTTATTGCGTTGTTGTGGAATTTACCGTATGTGAGGTGGGTTTTGTGGCCGTTTAAGGTATGTTGTTCACCATCCTCTTCGTCTTCGATGAACATGGAGTTTGATGCACCTCCCTTTCTCGTACAGTTCCTCCAGATAAAGAAAAGAAGAGAGAAAGATACGGAAACTGGCAGGGCTTTCACGGAGAGGAAAGGGATAATGTATTAGAATGTGGACTGATGTGGTATGATAGATGCTCGTTATCGCCTTCCACGAATTCTCTCACGCAATCACTGCCGTATGCACCGGCGGCCGCGTCGAATCTATCTCGCTCGATCCCCACGAAGGCGGCGTGACCCACATGCGCGGCGGCAAGCAAATTGTTACGCTGCCCGCTGGCTACCTAGGCTCCTCGCTCATCGGCGCCCTGCTCACCTTTTGCGGCTTCAACATTGTCGCGTCCAAGGTAGCGAGTATCGTGCTAGGCGTGTGCTTTTTGCTCACGCTGTGGTGGGCGCGCAAGGATTGGCTGACCATTTTGACGATTTTGGGGAGTGTGGGGTTGTTAGTTGGATTTTGGTTTATTGAGCATGGGGAGGCATTGAGATTTTTGGTTGTATGTTTTGTCCCCCCTGCTTTTCCCTTTTTCTCTCCGTGTTGTGTGATTGCTGACTTTTGTGTGTTTGAAACAGCTATTCATTGGCGTCATGTCGTCGCTGTATAGCGTCTGGGATATCTGTGATGATCTTATTCTGCGCAAGGTGAATTCTTCAGACGCGAGTGTCTTTGCGAAGCGCTACGGCGGCTCCTCGCAGTGCTGGGGCGTCATTTGGTCGATTGTCTCGCTGCTGTTTATGGTTGGTGGTATTTTGGCTGGTTTGGCGGCATTTAAGCAGAGTTTTGAACAACAGCAGAAGGATAGTCAGGGGTTCATTCCTACGATGCGGTAAATGAAGTGGCTATAAATGGGACATGCTACGATCATGTTTGAAATGGGTTCATGATATTGGTTGGTGAGATAGCTTAGTACGTATACTATGATCTCCTTCACTGGGGTTAGTAGAACATCCCGTCGCGCAGAATCATGGACATCGTTCACGCACTATCAACTCAGCCCCGCTATATATTGAAGAATGAGTTAGCTTAGAACTATACTCTGGAAGTTCCTTTGCCTACTGTGTATCTTCAAAACCAAAAATATAGTATTCCTGGGTTTGCTTCTGGGCAACTGGGCCTTAGCGTTGGAAGCTTCAACGACGATGCACACCTGCTCTACCATTGAGCACTATAGTTCCACTGTTCTAGAGGTTTGAAAGATCCTCTATGACTCTTGTCTAAAATTGCGAGATACCAACTCTACGTCCACATCTCCACATACTAGACACTACGCACGAAAAGATACGTTAATTCTAGTAGTACACTGTCCAGCCATTTTGTATTTTCACAGGTTCTAAACATCATACAAAAGGGGGCAAAAACAAATCTTTCTCTATGTATACGCAAGAGGCAACAGGGTTTTAATTAAGATATTTTCCGTTCCAAAGATGTCTCACGTAGGTGGGCAAGGTGGTGGCAGAGGGGCGGCGCCGAAGGCACCTATATACACCAATACCCCAATGTAGGCAGCCTGGGCTCACACCTCTGGCATCATATAATACAAAACTAAGGGACTTTTTATGAAGTCCAGCCTGTGTTTACATGCATTCCGAATTTTTGCATAGCAGGGCTTTAAACGCTGAACAGTCTGCATTGTACACCTCTGCGATGCTAAGACGGTTTGAGCTGTGGCGCAGGCCAGCCATCATAGCCCACCCCGATGCTTAGCAAAACGAGTGAGTGTACTCTTTTCCCCACGTGTGAACATACACGTAGCCCGCCTCTATCAACATTAACGGCGGCACGGCAAAGCCCAAACGGTTGATCTAATAGCTTGTCAGGCTGCCGCGCTTCCATGCCGTCCAGCCTGATGCGACCAAGGACCGATGATCCTCCGTCACAACATGTGATTGCTCAAGATACAACATGACGGCATAATCACGCTCACAGAGGACCTGATGGGCGCTGGTAACGTGCCCGCCTACGCCATACTCTCGCACACCTGGCTGTCTGGCCAGGAAGCCACCTTCGACGAGTTTACTGGAGGTCTTGGTCGTGACAAGGCTGGCTTCGACAAGATCCGCTTCTGCGCACAACAGGCTCAGCAGGATGATCTACGGTACTTGTGGGTGGATACGTGTTGTATCAACAAGGCAGATAATGTCGAGCTTCAGCATGCGATCAACTCATGTTTCGCTGGTACCAGGGAGCGACTCGATGCTATGTTCTTCTAACAGATGTATTTGGCGCTGAGCCAACGACTGAGCATGTACCCAACATACATGTATGGGAAGAAGAGTTTAGGCGAAGCCGCTGGTTTACTCGAGGTTGGACGCTCCAAGAGCTGCTTGCCCCGCGTGTTGCAAGCTTCTACTCTAGAGACTGGATGCATCTAGGCGACCGAGACAACCTAAAACAGCTCATCCACGAGATCACAAACATCCCCTGCCCAGTCCTTACAGGAGCACCGTTAGATAACTTCAGCGTAGAGGAGCGCCTATCTTGGTCTAACCAGCGTCAGACTACGCGTGTAGAAGACAAGGCGTACTCGCTGCTGGGTATCTTTGGTCTGTTCACGTTCCTCAACTATGGCGAAGGTGAGAGACCAATGCTTTCAAAAGGCTACGAAAAGCGATCGCAGAAGGCTCGCAGGGATCGTTCCAGCGACAGGCGTCAACGGTGAGTCTTGGAGGGAGTACCGCCACCTATACACCTGGTACGTACATTGGCAGCCGGATAAAAAGCTTGTTGTATGTCTGATTTGTTTACGCTGCAGCTGTCCAAAAGCCCTCCTACTGAATATCATTTTCCAAGAACCGATACTTTGTTGGAAGGAGAGAAAAGCTCGAGATGCTTCATCAGACGTTGCTGGAGGACACAGGATGCCAAATGATGTCGATTGTGGGACTCGGTAGGATTGGGAAGACTCAGCCAGCCTTGCGATTTGCGTACACAGTCAGAGAGACCATGCCAGCCGTCTCAATTTTCTGGATGCCTGCACTCAGCATGGAGAGCTACGAGCAAGCCTGCGTGGCCGTTGCCGCTGCTTTGCATATCAGCCAAGCGGAAACGAGTAAAGACAACGTAAAAAGGCTTGTGAAGGAGCATCTAAGTACAGATCAGGCAGGACCGTGGTTACTTGTGCTCGACAATGCAGATGATCACAACATCTTGTATGGCACCGAGTATGCTGCGGGCATCATCGACTATCTACCGGAGAGCGAGAAGGGCATGACCGTGTTCACTACACGAGTGCAAGAATTAGCCGTGGCGTTGACGCGAGGCGACGTTCTAGAGCTGGGTTCTATGAGCAAACTAGATGCCATGAACTTCTTGGAGAAGTCTTTAATCAGAAAGAACCCCACTGAGGAATGCGAGGAGCTATTGGACGAGTTAGCCTACCTCCCTTTGGCCATCTCTCAGGCTGCCACGTACCTAAATATGAATAGAACGACTTTTACAAGGTATCTGCGGCTGCTGAGACAGACAGAGCAAGATACCATCAGTCTAATGAGCAAAGAGTTCCAAGATCAAACACGCTATAAGGGCTCGGCGAACGCAGTGGCCTCGACGTAGGTAGTATCATTCAGTCAACTTTCAGGGCGCGATACGGTGGCAGCAGATCTGCTAGCATTTATGTCGTGCATCGAGTGGAAGGCAATAACACTCGTGAGGTTGACGGAGGAGAATAATGGTACGACATGTATTAACTTGTGCATCTTGCTACCAAAGTTTGGGTAGACAAGTGTAGTAGTGCTGCAAGCGTGAGCCAACAAGCTATGGCACATGTTGCTAAGGTCTTCCCGAGCGATGACTTTACCAACAAGGCCGTATGAGGAGCATACATGCCTCACACACTACGACTACTTGATACAAAATCACCTATTGATGCCCAAAGCAGAGCCAAGTCAAGTTGTCGGGTGGGACGATGCCTAATTTTCGACGTTTGATTTCCAGAAGCAGTGAGATGGTTTGAGGAGTGCTCGCAATGCAGAGAAGTACTGGATGAAGGTGGTCCAGATCGGCTGGAAGCGCAGCATGAACTCGGTGTTGCCTATCATTTGAATGGACAGATCGAGGAGGCTGTGAGGCTGCTAGAGTACGTGGTCAAGATGGTAGACGCTACGCTCGTAGAGGCTCACCCCTCTCGGCTTGCGTCGCAACAGGCACTTGGCGTTTCCTACTGGCAGAATGGACAGTTTAAAGACTCTAGAAGACTACTAGAGCATGTTGTCAAGATACAAGATACGATGCTTGCAGAGACTCATTTTAATCAGCTAGCGTCACAGCATCAGCTTGCTGTTTCCTACTACGCAGGTGGACAGGCTGGTGATGCTATAAAACTACTAGAGCACGTAGTCAAGATACAAAGCACCATGCTCGCACAGACTCACCCCAATTGTCTAGAGGCAGAGCACTGATTACGCCGCATGGTTGCTCATCAAAAATGAATTCCATTGCTTCTCTTCCAACGTCCTTGCTTCGAGTAGTTTTGGCAGTGTTCTTTCACGTAACGCTTCAACATACCTCTGGCAGTTAGATGCCTCAAAAACTACCCTCTAAGAACGGGATTCTGGAGACACGCACATAAGCACAATGATTGCAACCCAACAAAAGATCCGTATGGATCGTTTAAAGCGTCCGAAAAAACAAGTCTCAAGCGCTGCAGAAGTAACTCTATTCAGTGCTAACAGGGCCCAAGGACCCGACCTTGCATTATCTGGAAGAATTTCTGATAGATGTATAGATATCTGAACTATGTGGAGTTTGTAGAAGTAATATCCCTCGTAACCGGGGATTTCTTCGTGGATATCGCTAGACTATAGAACAATAAGTTGAAGAAGTAGCATGGCTTGAATACCCTTCACAATCCTGCGCTGTGCCATGCTCTTACTACTCACAGACCGGATTGAGGTTACCGGTTACCTTTTTTCCTCGTATACGATACACCTTTCCGGTAAAATAAAGTATCATCTTTACGTCGCCTTGATGATATCAAAAAATGTTCTCTTTCATTTATACTAGGACTAATACCTGAGAAACTAAAGTTTACCAACCAAGTGAAACAACACTACTAAACATGGTATCAAGCGAGAGCAAAGAAGAAAACACCATCACAATCATAATCATAATCATAACCAACTCGACACCCCACATCTACTGTCCAGGCACATGCGCCACATTCCTAATATCCTTCGTCTCGATCCTACCCACAGCAGGATACATATCATGTCTATCGATGTAACTCTGCGCCGTCTTAACGTTCTGTAGTGCCTCATCCCTACCCTCGCTCTTGGCAGTTTCAATTTTTACAAGCATGTTTTTGTCAAATTCATTGCCGCCGTTTACATCCCCTTCGCTGACGGGAAACACCTTGACTTCACCGCCGTCCTCAGCAATGGGCGGGATACTGTTGTGCTGCTGCCCCTCGAGCGAGAGAGTGTGCATGCGGGAATCCAGGTCGTCGGTGGGGAGTTGGGGGGACTGCGGTATTGCGCCGACAGATTTCGAACGTACGGCTTGTAAGGGGCTCATGGCGTCGGAGGCGGGATCTTGGGTTTCGACCGCGGAAAGGGAGCGCTGCGGGTCTACGGTCGGAACGCTGTTTGAGCGCTGTTTTTCCAGTGTGGGTTGTTGGGGGGGTTGCTTGGTGCTCTTGTTCCAGGACTTGAATTTGAAGGCGGAGAGCCAGCTTGGGCGTTTTTCTTTGCCCGCATTGGGGTTGATGGCGCGCTCGGCGGCGAGCTGGATGTGAGATTTTGCTTCAGGTTTACGAGTGCCGGGTAGGAGTACTTTGGGAGCTGCTGACATGGGGGCTGGCGCGGGCCGTGTCTCTTGGTCTGATTTGCGGCGGACCGATTTTTCTGTGGTTGGCTCTGCGATGCCGAGTCCTGCGCGGTGTTGGGCGAGACTGGTTTCCTTGAGCTCTTGACTTATGTACTGCAGTGCCTTGTCGATGACTTCAATGTACTCCGGATAGTCGACTTCACAGGCCTCGCGAATCAGACGGAGCTTCTCCCAGTCCTGTCTCACTGTCGGGCCAGTCAGATCAGGGTGCCAGCCCATGCTTTTGAGATCAGATCGAATTCCACGATCGACTTGCTCTTTTACACCCATGAGATCAATCAGAGCATCAACCTCTGTGCGCACTGTCTTAACATAATCGTTGAAGCGCGCAGTGTCCTTGACTTGCCAATGCGATGTCGTCATACTCAAATTCCGCTTGAGACTAGACCGAGCACCGGTTTGGTTAAGGAGATCTTTTAGCAAGCCATACTTTTCACGGAAACCCTCCAGCCGATTGCTGTCTAAAGCGGGGTACTCAGCCTTGGAAAAAGTCTTTGGGCTTTTCAGGCCGTACATGCTCATCAGCTCGTCTCGTGACATGTTGCTAGGTCGGCCCGCGATCTCGTGAAGCGCCCTTCGAAGCTTGGCGTTGATGGCCTCTTCATCGAGCCTGGGATCGCGCACACCAAAGTTGACGGGCAGAGTTGGATCTGGATTTGTGATTCCAGGATGGCTTGGAATCATGTGTCGCGCAATTGTCGCAGGCGGCGCAGAGATGCCCACGGCGTCTCCAAAGATGAGTAGTCTGCCCTGCTGGATGCCGAGCTTGGCAAGCGCCACTTTTTGCGCATGGTCGTGGTCTTTTGTCGGGTGGATGCGATTGAATGCCTCAACACAGGTGCTGAATTGCGAGGCGAGGGAGAAGACGTCAGTCAGCATCTGGGCTTTTGTCTTGGTCCCGGGTGGTTCTGTCGATTCGACATAGTCCGTTGTGGGCTTGGTGGACATGGCGGTTGAGGGCTACCTGTGGCTTCGAGGGAAGGAATGGAAGGGAGTGGCAGTGGCAGAGAAGGAGAAAAAGGGCGAGATTAAAGGGATCTTGGACAAGGGCCTAGACACTAGCTGGCTACGTCAAGGAGCTGCGGGAAGATAGATGCGTCCATCGTAATACATGGCAAGATGCAAATCAAACCAAATATTCACCGCATGTGCGCATGACGTGTGAGCATTTGTCCAGCGTCGAGGTGTGGCGCAGCGGCGTGCATAAAGGGAGCGGGGCTTGCTGGATCGGCAGGCCGTTTATCCTGACTTGGCTTTGCTTGCCCACCCCCCATTTGCAACCTTGGCCTACGCCCACAGCATTCAAGCATCGGCACGCTCAATGCTAGGTCTCTTACTGCATTGTCTCTGTGGCTGTACCATAATGTATGCCCAGAACCAGCCATCAGAAAAATCCCTCAACATTGGCAGTCTACGTGGCGCAAAGCGCCTAGAGAAATTTTCTTAGTAAATGTTGTAGCCATGGTGGGAAATGTCTGCTAGCCTGTTTCGATTATATGCACATACCTAAGACCTTACCATCTTAACATAGAATAAAACGTCAACTACCTCTAGAGTCTAGCTAAAGAATAGCTAAATCCTTACTTATTACACCTTATATATAACGTACCTTATAGGCTTATTAATTACACGGGTTCGTTAATCACTTTTGTTAAGACTGTACTAAAACCACTATATTATAGCCTAACACAACCTACTTTAGACCTATATAGCGTAAAGAAGTATAATATATAATTCTTAGTCTACTTTTACTATCTACTTATATATTTATATATTATATCTAGTTCTATTATACTATCTACATAATCTTTAAGATAGTTTATCCTCTTTAGTATATTTCTACTTTTTTAACTCCTTTCTATTACTATATATACTAAAGTCCTAGAGAGTAGATAAGTACTTTTTATTTTTAACTATTAAGTGTTACGGTTTAGGCTTACGGGTAGAAAGGATAGGTACATGTATAGAGTCTATTACCATAGCTAATTAATAGGCTCTCGCTACTAGTAGTAAGAGTAGAAGATAGAACGTAGCTCGAAGAGCTGTCTAGACTATAGTGCTATAGTTTTATAGAATCTAGATACTTAGACCTATACCTAGAATCTATTAGTAGCTAATTAGGTGGATGCGCGCTAGCTGCCTCGCTATTATAAGTAATAACGGAAAAGATTCTCTCCCTAGTGATAATAGTATAGTAGTTAAGGAACTACTTAGGACACTAACTAAGAACGATAGATATCGCGGGGTAAGGTCACGTAATACGCTATTACGCTAAGATAGTACTATTAGTAATAGTAGGTACTGTATATAATAGCAAATATTAGAAGTAGAGATAGCTATTAGTAATAGTAGGTTAAAGTTCTAATAGTAGAACTAGAAGTAATAAAGATATAAGGATAGATAGATTTTAGTATTTACTTATACTATACTTAACTTAAAACCAACTTTCTTACTAGTTACTTTACTTAATAAGATTATTACTTCTTAGTCTATTAAAATAGATTAGTAGTTATTAGATCTTTATTACCTTCTATATAAGTATACTACTCTGCTATATTACTAAATAAACTATTATAGTATTATAGTGTAGATTTATATATAAAGAAGATAGGTATATATATAGGTTCTATTACTATAGCTAATTAATAGGCTCTTACTATAGATAGTATAGAGTAGAAGATAGAGCGTAGCTTAAAGAGCTCTCTAGACTATAGTCCTACGTTTTATAGAATCTAGGTACTTAGACCTATACGTAGAATCTACTAGTAGCTAATTAGAAGAATATATACTAGCTACCGTACTAGTACTATAGCTTTAATAGCTATCTAGAGAATTCTAGTCTTATTAGATACTTAGAAGCTACTAGTCTACAACTATATTAGATAGCGCTATAATAGTACTTCTCTCTCTAGGTAAAGCTCTATTAATACAATTACTTAGACTTAGTAGAGTAATAGTAATAGAAGTTATTAATAATTATCTATATATTCTCTAAGTAACTAGTAAAGACTTAATTTAGTTTATTATAACTAGTTTATTTTATTAAGTATTTTAAGTATAAGTAGCTTCTTTAGCTATAGTAGTTAAGTTAGAAGACTAGTATATTCTTTATCTTCTATTCTTCTATTCTATTTATCTTAATAGAAGAAAAGAGAGTCTTATAATTATCTAGATAAAGAGTTAAAAGTAGTAGATCTTAATAAATTTATAAAGAAGATAGAAAAGATTTTTATAAATATAAATAGATTTAGTTAGTAGATATATAAGCTAATAGTCTTGATTATAATAGCTTAGTACTCGTTTCTATATATATCTAAATAGGATCTAAACTAAAGTATAATTTAGTCTAGTGAGAAAAACGACTATATAAACTCAACTGCTATCATAGCTTATTAAGTAGATTTTTAATATTATTTTATATAAGGCCTATAGGTGTCTATTTAAATTAAGGCTTATTTAATATTCTACGCACTCTTATATACCTCTAAGTAATACTATTACTAATACTAATCTTAGTAGTCTTATCTACGCCGTTATATTATATTAAAAATCTTACTANAGCTAGTAATAGTATTTAAATAATATTATAACTATCTATTAAGACTACGTCTAAGCCTAAGTCTATNTAGAATAGATNTAGATACTTATACTATTACGTCTAATATTTATATAGATAAGCTCTCTTTAATCTCTTATTTACTAAAGCCTTTAG